TCAAACAATGCCTGATCCCGCTACTGTCTATACATATCGCAATCCCATCTTACGTTTACCAGATCTTGTTGCAGATTAGTATATTTATGTCAGATTGATTTTGTTGATCTTTTAATTTGATTTGTTAAAACAGTTCTATATATTGTATCATTTAGTGATCGGTCTATAGCATCAGCTAATTCAGCTATTGTACCCATATCTAAATTTGATCAAAATTATAAATATCTAAAGAATTTTCATCAGAGTCAGATTCATTTTCATTAAAATTCCATGCTCGCACATTTTGTAAAGTCTCTTGAGCATTTATAAGTTTTAATTTATTTCGATATCTTAATAATACTAATGCAAAATTTTGACAAAGAAGATCTGTAATATGGTTTTTTTGCTAGGTTATTTTGTTAATCCTATTTATTTGATTAGTTCTTACTGTATTTATTTCTTGTTTAAGATATTTATTCTCATCTACTAATCTGGTTGTATAATCTTGTGCTTTAGGCGTACAGTCAGTTTTCTCTAAATGCATCCCCCTAAGTACATGATTTCCCTAAATGTATATTAATTTTCTGGCCCAAATATATACTAAACTCCCATAAATGCATATTTTATTATTGTTCTCTAAATACATATTCTCAAAAGTTTGGTCCCGATGATATACATTTATGGAGGATTGATTATATTACCTGCAGATTTTGATATTTCTCATATATGGTTTTTTAATTTTGTCTTATGTTTATCAAATTCTGATATTAATCTATCTTTATTGGAAATTTTTGTCTTTCTTTTTATTTTTTTCTCGAGTTGGTGAATGATTCTTTTTAATTTTAAAATCTCTTCTAATAATTCTTCTTTGTCTTGTTTAGAAAGTTCGATAGCGCTATTTAACTCTTTTTCAAGATATCGTATTCTTTCTTCATATATACCTATAACTCTTTCTAAAATATATAGACATTGTTCAAAATTCCTATTTGATTCTGCTAATTGTGATACTACCTCATAGAGTTCTTAGTTAGATTGTTGTAGAGACATAGTTTCATTGCTTTGCAATAACTTATCTATTTTTTATTTACTATATTGATTAAGAAATTGCTAAATCTATAAAAGAAAATCAAAATAGAAGAACCGGTTATTTATATCAATCCTTAGAGAGTATAAGAGCTAGATCAAGTTATTGCAAAACAAATATTATTGATTTTTATCAATCCTAAAGAAGCCTATGATCTAGACCAACATCTTGCTTTACAAAAGCTATATTATTGCTTTGAGGGCCTTTACCAAAATACAAAAGAACTATAGAATATATGTAAGAAAGCTAGTTATATCTTTTCATTTGCTAATATAAAAAAACGGCTTGATGGTTAGGCAATGTATCAAATCTTTCAGCCTTCACCAAAACAAATACCTTATACTAGTTATTTTAAAATCATAAAGCCAAATACTGTATATAAGTGCGATTTAATTAAAATACTATATAATGTAGATACAGATTCACTAAATGATAGCCCAATATTTTACTATGTATTATTAGTTATAGACTGTGCAACTAGATATAAAGATTTTGTTTTTTTAATATCAAAAAGTAGTGAAGAAGTTGCAGAAGCTTTTAAAAGTTTATATGATGATCCTGATAATCCTCTTAACTAGTCTAGAAAACTATAATGTGATAAAGGTCGTAAGTTTATAAGAAGTGTAACATTGGTAATAGATGAACACAATGTTAATATCTAAAGAATTAAAGCATGTTTTAGACATACGAGCATAGCTATGGTCGATCATTATACTAGATTATTTAAATTAAGAGTTTTTAAAAATTAGTATACAATAGAGTTTCTCTTACCTACTAGTAAACGTTATAAAGAATGTGAATGATTTGCAAGAAGAATTGTTAATAACATGAATGATACTTCTACTCAGTTAATTAGAATGAGTCCCAATGATGCCACAAAACTTGAGTGGATATATTCCAAATTATCAGTAAAATATAATTACCCAATAGGTGTTGATGAACTGCGACTACCAAAGAATACTATTGTGCGATTCTTACTTGCTAAAGGAGAATGGAAAAATGATCCCTTTGAACAATGCAGGATAACAGATCCTGTATAGTCTCCTTCCTTATATAAAATTTGAAAAATTGTTGTTGAGAGAAATCTACCAATGCCTGTTTTATATTATTTAGATAAATTGGGACCTTAACATTTATTTGTAAAAGAACAATTAATGCATATCAAGAAAGAGCCTATGTTACCTCCTAGATGGGTATTGAAAGGTAACTAAATGTATACAAGGTACTTTTAATAAAAGTCTTTAAGTCAATAATGCAATAGAGAATTGTAATAAGAATTATTCCCTCTCTGTAGCATAATGCACTTTTTTTTCAATCATACCAGATTTGTGCATCTAAATTTACCTGTCCTTGTGAATGAAAAAAAGGTATGATTTGATAATGTTGATTGCCACTATATTAGAAGGCCAAGCCTAGCTCTTCATTATATCTATCTAGGTATAAATCTTCTAAAAATTTAGGCTTTCTGGGTGAGAATTTTTTATTTAATAAATCCTCAAATATATACTGGCATGTTCTTTCTGGAACATTAGAGCAAATATTATACTATCAGTAATTCTGTTTCATATTTTTATATGATGCCTTCTATTGATGGTTTTTCTTACATACTCATAAATATGTATTAGAACCAACTTTAGCTAAGCATCTTCCTTCATATCTTTGGACATATACTAAAGCTTTGGTATCAATCTCATTATAATCTTGCATTTTTATAATATTTTGTTAAATGAAATTTCACGTAAATAATTTATCCAATAACTATTTTTGTGTCACATATTTTTGATCAAGGTAAAATTATACTTTGGGTGTCTACCAAATATATATACTATAAAATTATACTTTGGGTGTCTACCAAATATATATTATAAAATTATACTTTGGGGTATCTACCAAATATATATTATAAAATTATACTTTGGGTGTCTACTAAATATATATTATAAAATTATGCTTTGGACATCTATCAGATATATATAAAATAAAATTATACTTTGGATATCTACTAGTATAAAAATATCAACTATACGAGAAAGATTTCCAGAATCACAAAATGTAGTATACTGATGGTAGACACCCAAAGTAAAATTATTATAGAAAGATATATATTATAAAAATTATACTTTGGGTATCTACCAGATATGATAACAATTTGGCACTACATGCCTCATTATCAGATGCTTTGATGTGTTACCAGATATGATAACAATTCGGCACTTTGTGCCTCAAATCTGGCATTCGAATATGATATGCAAAGCCAGATCACAAACACTATTTCGACACTTTGTGCCTCAAACCTAGCATTTGAATGCAACATACAAGATCAAAATAAAGATTGCCAATTTGGCATTTTGTGCCTCAGCCTTGGGTGATGAAAGCAATCAAAGAGCCAAAGAAAGCCAAAAGCATGATCGAAAGGAAACAGTGCTACTGTTAATAATCAAAACCAAAATTGGTTTGAATTCATTTCTAACTTTAACTTATTATTTAAAACAGGACTTTTTATTATAAGCATTATATCAGCCATATGAGTTAAAAAAAAGTACTAAGCAACTATTGTGAGCAGATAAAAATTAACAATTGACTATTATGTAATAAGTTATTTGAATCTTCTAGGTTGATTATGAAGTAAACAAATGATTTAGCTTTTATTTGTTTTCTCAAAAAAAATCGTAATCTATTTAAAAAAAAATTAAACCAAATTTAAATAAGGCTATACAAAATTTAATTAATTGGTTTTTATAATCTAGCTAGATCAAAATTATAAAATTTTTTTTAAAAAAAGTCTGCTGGGTTTATTTAAAAGTTTTAAATCAGACAATTAAATTATATAGTCTAAATAATGATATACTGTATAATATTGAATCTCTCAAACCAATATGCATAGTACAGATTTTATATCAGTATTAAGAACTTATCAGATTTGAAAAATATTATAAAATATTAGATTTATATATAAGAAACAGATATGAGAAACTAAGATTTGACAGGTTATCAGTTTTGACAAGATTAATTTTAAGTAGTTTAATAGTATTTACTTTTATATAATTATCAGATATCTCAACTAGTTTATAAGCAGATTGTACAATTTTAAATATTCTTCCAATCACTGATATTTTAAATAAAACTTTTGCCTTATTATCTTGTGATATAATTACAAAAAAAGAGGCAAAAGCACTAGCGTATTTTTGACTAGTTGCAAACAATAATACCTATCTATATATTTGAGTATTTTATTTTTAGATACTAAGTTGACTTAGATAGCCATAGGTAGTGGTGTCTTTTGGTATTTGAAAAGTTAATTTGTCTAGGCCAAATATATATATTTATCTGATATTTATATAATCATATGAATTTTTTTTGCTTTGATATTTTTTGCATGATATTATATAATTATTTATACAAAAATATCACAAGAAAAAATATTACATAGTTATATATTACTGTCAAATAATACCAATATTGTGTATACTCAAATAACAGAAAAATTTTTTCATCAAAATTTAATATCACTTATGTGCTACTATATAGTATATAGAATGACATTAAATCTGCTAAAAAAAATTTCCTGTTATTTTTTTATCGTCTGCCCAATATTGTTTATATTAACAGGTGTATGATATATAAACTTAGTATTTTTCTTTTATTTCTGTTTTTAAATAAGAAATAGTATACACTTTAATAATTTCTTTTTATCTTTTTTGGCAATATTATCAAATTCAATACATGAATACATTTGCTCAGAAAGATCAGGATTTAAAAAAAAAAATAAAGATACCCAGATAAATTATATATAATAACTTCTCCTCTGTTTTCTAAAGCTTTATATTTTTTACTTAACTTTTGGCTTGTGTAACAGCATGGTTTTTTAATTTTTGTCTTTTTTTTTAGCTTCAATTTCTTGTTTAGTTTAATTAATTTTAACTAAAAAATAATAATGCTATCTAGAATTACACACAATATTATATAACTCATTTAACTCATAAAGCTTATCTTCAGCACATTTTTGTTTAGCCAAAAAATTTTTTTGAGCAGTTATATTATAGTATGGTTTTTCAGATTCTATTGTAAAAGATAAAGATATAAATATAGAGAAGCTAATCTCATTTGATATAACCAAATATTCTTTAGATTGTAGACCAACATAAGCAAATTTGCCTGTGTTTGTACGATAAATATACTACTAATCTATATTTTTAACAATTTAGAATATTCAAATAAAATTTGGTATAATAATATTTGAAAATGTAAATTACTTTTTTATAGTATTTATTTTTAGATTAAAAGAAAAAAATTTTAGGTTATTTATAAACCAAAAATATGCAATTTTAAAAATAATTTTTTAAAAAAAAATATTTTAG